TGTGTTGTGTGTGTGACTGTGTTGTGTTTTGTGGTGTGGACTGTGTGTGTGTGTCTGTGTGTGTGATGTGTGTGTGTGTGTGTGTGTGTGTGTGTGTGTGTGTGGGACTGTGTGTTTGTGTGTGTGTGTCTGTCTTGTGTGTGTGACTGTGTGTGTGCGTGTGTGTGTGACTGTGTGCGTGTGTCAGGTGCCCTCCATACCGTGTGTGTGTGTGTGTTGGACGGAGTGTGCACATTGTGTGTGTGTGTGTGTGTGTGTGTGTGTGTGTGTGTGTGTGTGCTGTGTGTGTGAACTTGGGGTGCTGTGTGTTGTACTCGTGTCTGACTGTTGTGTGTGTGTGACTCGTGTGTTGTGTTTGTGTGTGACTGAGTTGGTTGTGGTGTGTGTGGACTGGGGTGTGTGTTGTGAATAAAAGTGTGAGTGCCACCACCACGAACAGCAGAATACACCAAGAACATATCGATAAGATATGAATAAACAAGCGACATTGGTGTGTGACTGGCTGTTGTGTAAGTTTGACTCCCTTGTGTGTGTGGTACTCAATTATCATGTGGGCGTATGTGTGCTGTGTATGTGTGTGTGTGTGTGTATGTGTGTTGTGACATCATGTGTGTGTGTGAGGAATGTTTGAACCCCAGCAATATGTGTGTCGTTGTGTGTGTGTGTGTGTAGTGTGTGTGGGTGTGTTTGTGCATATGTGTGTGTTGCTGTGTAGAGCTGTGTGGACGTATGCACAATCAGCTACTGGTGTGTGACTGTGTGTGTGTGAGCTGTGTGTGATGTGTGTGTGTGTGTCTGTGTGTGTGTGTGTGTGTCTGTTGTGCTATGTGTGTGGTGTGTTGGCACGATTTATCCAATCTGACTGTCGTGTGCTGTGCTGTGTGTGATGGTGGTGTGTATCGTGTGTGTGGTTGTGTGGTGTACTGTGTGTGTGGTGCTGTACCGTGTGTGAATGTACCCTGTGTGTCTTGTACCTGTAAAGCTCTGTGTGTACCTGTGTGTGGCTTGTACCTGTGTGGTTAACCTGCTGTGTTGTGTACCTGTATTGCTTTTACCTGGTGTGTGTGTTGTGTGTGACCCAAGTGTTGTGTGGCTCGCTGTCGTGTGCTGTGTGGTTGCTGTGTGTGTTGAACTAATCAGTCTTGGTGACTATGTGTGTGTGTGTGCTGTGTGTGTGGGTGTGTGTGTGTGTGTGTGTGGTGTGATGTTGTGGTGTGTGTTTGTGTGATGTGTGTCGCTGGTGTGTGTGGTGTGTCTATCTGTGTTGACCGTGTTGTGTGTCTATCTGTGGTGACCTTTGTCTATCTTGTGGACCTTGTCGTGCTATCCTTGATGTGATCTTGTGTGTGTGTGTCTGTGTGACCCTGTGTGATTGTAGTCTTGTCGCGAAACTGAGCTGTGTCGTAGTGTTGACTGTGTGTGTCTGGTGTGTGTCGTTGTCGTGACTGCCTGTGTCGTCATGTGTGGGTGTGTTCTGGTGTGTGTGTTGACTGTGTGTGTGAGTGATGACCATGTTGTGTGTGTGGCACTGTGTGTGTCGTGATGTGCTGTGACATGTGTGTGCGAGTGATCAAGCTAATAACTCATCAATAGTGACACTGTGTGTGCGTGTCGTGTGCGATAAACCGCACTACAAGAGAAATAACCAGCTGTGATGTGACTGTGTGTGCGGTGCGTCGTATGAATCACACGATGCGAAATCAGTATAACATAATATCGAATAAAGTCTCGACGACTAGAAAAGTGTGTGTGCGTGTGTGTGTGTAAATGTGTGTGTATGTGTGTGTGGTTTGTTGACTGTGTGAGTTCTGTGTGACTGTAGACTGCCATGTGTGTTTTGTGTGACTGTGTGTGTTTGTGTGACTGGTGTGTGTTTGTGTGAACTGTGGTGTTTGTGTGACTGTGTGTGTTTGTGTGATGTGTGTGTTTGTGTGACTGTGTTGAGTTTGTCGTGACTGTTTAGTGTGAGTTTGTGTGACGTGTGTGTCTCTGGCTGTGCTTTGTCTGTGTAGACTGTGTGTTGTGTTGTTGACTGATCTGGATGCTCGCCACAATTGATTGCCAGTCGATGCAATGGAAATTCTAAACATCTTGTGTGTTGACTGTGTGTCTGTGTGACTGTGTGGTGTCTGTGTGACTGGTTATACATTGTCGTGTCTGTGTGACTGTGCTCGTTCAATCTGTTTGTGACCTGTGTGACTATGTGCGTCTGTGTGACTGTGTGTGGTCGTGGTGACCATGTGCATCCTGGTACTGGGCGCCACACCAATCTCTGTGTTCTGTGTGACAGTGCTAGTTGTCGTGTGTGACTGTGTGCTGTGTGTGTCTGTGTGAACGAGCATGTGTGACTCTGCGTACAGCCCCAAATTGTGGTGTGTGTGTGTCGTGTGTCTGTGCTGTGTTGTGTGTGTGTGTGTGTGTGTGTGTGTGACCATTGAGATGTGTCAGTTGTGTGTTCAGTGTTGCCTGTGGGTACAGCGTGTGTGTGTGATGTTGTGCTGTGTGTGTGTGTGTGTGTGTTGTCGTGTGTGTGTGTGTGTGTGTGTTTGTTTTCTGTCAAGTGTCGTGTTTCCAGTGTGGGTTTCATCTGTGCCCATGTGTGTGTGTGTGATGTGTGGTAACTGATGTGTCTTGTGTTGTGAATGCTGG